TTGTGTTTGTTGCTGTTTTTGCTCGATATCATCTTCACGCATGGTGTAAGCCGACTGCCTTTAAAGCTAACATGTACTAAAGGTGGAGATGGGTAAGGCCACTGCTTGTGCACACTAGGTCATTAACTAATCCAATAGTTATGTTAGATGTATAATAGTGTGGGCTGGCAACAGTGTCAGTATTACATGAATGATAAGGGATAATTGCCATAACAGCTGCACAAAAGGAGGAGGCATCACGGTGGGATTGTCTTGGCAAGCCCACACCTAGCCAAATGTAGCCATGTGGTCGCTTTTTTGTTGTTGTGTTTATTGTTGCATGTGACATGATGATTTGACAGATTATCTAATAGTTAAACACATCCTGAAGTTGGCAGTGTCAGAGTTTTTCAGTGTAGAAGCAATTCAGGTTGAACTGTCAGGAGTCGGCACGATACAAACAGACGTTTCTTTCGACTCTCTACAGTAACAAGGTATTATTAGTAATGGAGAAAATGGAATGTTCTGTTATCAATAATGTTGTCTTAATTTGAATCACTTTAATACAGTTATAGGGTTCGCACTGTTGTTCTTAAATGTTTGAAATAATTGAAAATTGAAATTGAAAGTTAAATTGAATATTCTTTATTAAGATAAAGGACATCAAATGTTTTTAACCACATATTAACAAGGACATATTTAATAAAAACAAGAATAATACAAATGAGTGATAATGAGTGTTCTGTGTCGCACTCATTATTACCTAACGAAATGTAAATACAGAAAACAATGCACCAAGTCAATGTGTCACTCTCAAGGCTGTTGCTATGATGCTTGCTGCTCTTTCTGGCTGTTAGCTGTTGTGCCGAAGAGAAAGTGTGTCTTTTCTAAAGAACTCCATCCATGAGGCTCAATCCTTCCTTTGTAAAGTCCCTGGCAACAGTGTTGCCAGATCAGAATGCCAGTTTCCAGCCCAATTCCACAAAAAACAGCCCAAATCATAACATTTTCTTCATACCCATACAAAGCTTCATATCTGCATCAAATGACAAAAGTTGTTAGATAAATAGGCAATCAAAACCCACAAAGACTGCAGACAACCAAATACACAAATTCCCATGTCAATGTCAGTGATGATGACCTCAAGGAAAGTAAGTCGTCCCTTATCATGAAAATCAAATGTTTCTCAGATTGAATGAGATTCCATTAAATTAACTTTACTTACGTTTCTCCAGCGCTGTTCAGTGGACAAAAGGACTTCCTGGAGGATCCAGATGTTTCATGACTATAATCCTTCATCCGGTTAAAATATATGGTTAGAAAGTTAAAGCATTTTAACTTGAGCGTCCAGTGGAAGAAATTCTTGAGAAGGTGGAGCTGTGTAAGCAGATAATTACTGACAACCAGGAGGACAGTATAACACAGTCGTAATAATATCAAATATGTCTATTTGTTATGAGTTAGAATTGTTGACAAAAACGTAACATTTGTGTGAACTTAAAATGTTCTTGTAGCTGCGTACTACTACATTCAAATGTAGAGTGTTACCGTCTTATGAACAACAGAAACTGGCAAATGTCATGTAACTAATTCCGAGGGTTACTGCGTCTGTCTTATTTTCCAGCTTAAAATCCTTGTATAAATGGGATGGACTGCTCTTTGTAAGATGGAGTCTTTGTACTTTAAGTTGTGGATGACATTTGGCGTGCTTTTTTATTTGGTGTGTTGGAAAACTTATTATTCTTTCATTAAATTGTTCCAGGCACGTTTTTTCTTCATATACAAAGTGTTAAAGTAGGAGTTTATCCTGAAAAATATTTAAGTATGATTCTTCTTTGATTTTTTAACATGCTGCTAATAATTAATCTTTCTTTAAAATGATCTTCATTCACTATATATGGCACAATAGTTGTTTTGTACAATTCATGGCCAGCTAAGGCAGCGCCATCACACTAGTCAGGCAATTTACTGTTTTGTCTTCTATGAGATTGCAAAAGTCTCATTATCAAAGATAAATCTTAGTATTTCAAAAAAATGGGAATATCAGCTGTAAGTATGTGTTGTACATTGCTGTTTCAGATCATTTGCAAGATAGTTATCAGAGGAATTCGTGGTAGTAACGCAGTGTTAAAACAATACCTAGTATCCACACACTTGCAGAGAGGCGCATTATTCGGCAGAGCTGCACTATGCGCGCTCTCGCGAAGCTCGTGCACTGGTCAGTGGGCAGGCTGTGTACGCCCTGCTCTGACGTGACAAAACATTTTTTAGATTTATAAATTAGATTCATTCGCATTTGTTTTAGAAACAATTACATACATTGACTGTCATATGTATGCTGTACATTTTGGCGGTTGCCTCTTGATATACAAAAAAGTATTTGTTGTTATTTATTTTACGCGGGAGGTCAAAGGTTACTAACAAAATGGCTGCATACACTGGAGCCGCGAACACAATTCCATCAGCAGCCGGATAGTGAGGGGATATTTGGATGTTTTGATCCACGGCGACCGCAGCAATCATTATTTGGACATTATCTGTTTTGTACTATCGACTGCTAGTCATGGCCGACTTATATTTATGGATACGTTCATTGTGTTTGCAATAAAAGCACCGTACAGCAATCTCCGGGTGAGACGACCCGAATATAAAGCAGTCATTACAGAGGGTCTGACGTTAGTTTAGTTACACTGCCGTTTTTTAAATTTGTCTGCGAGCCTCGTTATACCGTTAACGTCTCGTGAAGCTAACGTTTTTATTAGTGTCGCTTTACCTTGGAATGCAACTTTTTTCTTTTAAGTTTTTTGTACTCGGAGCTTGCTGAATCTTGGCAAAGTAACGTTAGCCCAACACGGCTGCTGAGAGGAAAGCATCGCGGAGTGGTGTTGTGCCATGTTGAAACTACAGTCAAGAAGCAACAACACGCAACGAGGATGAACAGGAAGAAGGATAAAGCGTTTGAGAGCCCTCGCCCCTTTAAATTATAAGTATTCGTTGTACAATGTTGGCGTGGAATGAATGAAACGGTTTGCAGTCATGTTGAATAGTAACGTAAAGCACAGCTAACGTAACGCTAGCTTAACATTAGTAGCATTTGCACATAGTATGTTAACTGTTGCAGGCAGTGACGTTACTTCAAGTACAAAGTTCTCTGTTTGTTGAGTGAGAGGTAGTATCTAGTTGAGTTCATATCGCATGTTGACATTGTTTTTCTGTCGTTGCTTTTACGACCCACCAGGTGGTGTGCATCAACAACATCAACTTCCAGAGGAAGTCTGTTATTGTGAGTACAGGAGTTAACTTACGCTACACCGAAAACTGTGTAAAAAGCCTCTTCAGTCTAATTCCTTCAGTCATTCTGCTGTGGTGAGAGATAACAGTGGCTAATATAAAACCAAGTTTCAACCTATCCAGTTAATGTCACTGCACCCCTTGTAATAATATAGCTTATTGTTAGAGATAACTGCTCAACAATTTAGTGTTCCCTCTTGTTGTCCGCCTAACTTTACTCCTATTTACACTCAATTTATGAACTGCAATTACAAAGAATTACTTCATCTATTAAAAACGTATTACACTGATAACTCATCTTTTTAAATATTGGTTCATAATTTGTATTTGCTAGATATTATTTAGGCACCTGTTACTGTGTTACAGTCCTCCATAATTATGAGAAACCAAAGCCACAAGGGCTTGGAGAACCTTTGCTGCTGTGATAAAGCCAGCACAGATACTGGTGTTTAGGACATTTTGGGGGTGAACAAACCCTTTAACGCTGTACATCTTGGGGTTTTAATCCAGATAACGAAAATCACTTCAGCTGCTAATGACAACTGTTATGTTTAAACCAACTTCTTCTTCTCTCTTGCCTCCCTTAGGGCTTTGTTGAGCTAACCATCTTCCCCACAGTGGTCAACCTGAACAGGATCAAGCTCAACAGTAAACAGTGCCGCATCTACAGGGTCCGGGTCAATGAACTCGAAACCCCATTCATTTACAACGACCCCACACTGGAGGTGTGCCACCATGAGTCCAAGCAGTGAGTATGTCGGTGCACATTTCAGTGTTCGGATTGTACGGAGTTCTGAAAACAAGGGCTTGTTATTTGTGCCATGGGCTTCGACAGGTTTCCCACTTTTCATGGAAAACAGTTGACCAATTGTCATTGAAAAATCATGGAAAATGAAACAAAAAGTAAAATTGTCCTGGGAAATCTTGCTATGTTGTGGAAACGCTGTGAACACACGTCACATGGTGGCACATGCAGGTTGGATGACTTCACATAAAGTTGCTTTGAACAGTTGAATATTGTTATATTGATTAGCATGTTTTGTTCAGTTGCTAAAGTTGGCATGCTTGCTAGCTTGTTTTGCTCGTAAATGTTTTAAGGTTTGTGATTGAACTGTGGCTCGGAGCAATGGTTTCACATGTGTGTTGGGCATTGTTGAGAGTTTGATTATAATGAATGGGAATCAGAGGTCAAAACAATGAATGGGAGTCCAAAACATCGCCTAATCGCATAAACCTTATCGTGAAATATTGAACTTTTGTCGAGGTAGCTTCACAATAAAGCGAAGTGCAGTACATCTGCAGGCGCGTTTGCATCAGCCTATGATCAATTTGTCATAATTTCTAAGCATGTAAGAGATGATTTTATAGAGAAGTTATAGCCATAGACTGCACTTGTTTTTAATCAGACTTCCATAAGAGAGGAACGTATTAGTCGGTCTGTCATACCAGCTAGATCATCACTGAAAATTACCTGGAAAATAACCTTTAGAAAACCGTGGGAACCCTGTTTGAATTGTTAGTCTACAAGTGAAATCCTTCTGTGGTGCAATAGATACTGTCAAATCTACATTGTTTAGCAAACAATGGTAACAATGCTAGCTAGTTGTATGGATAAGTGAAAGGCAGAGAACATCAGATAAAAGTAATTGACTGAGACTATCACGAACTGAGTTTTATAAAGATTTAAAGCAGCACAATAGCTCTCTTTATATTTCTGCCTCATCAGCTCCAAGGCACTGAACCAAAATGAAGCCATCCAGCCAAATTAATTTGAAATATTCATGCTTGAATAACTAGTAATAGTGAATTTATTTACTATTCATTTTGCCTTTAGGTTTGGGCGATATGATGATGTGTACACTAGACACTATATATTTGTAAGCTGTCAAATTGGATTTACAGGATTATTACCAATATCATTTTCTGGCTAGTTTATGAGAAACTGTGGTGGCAATATGACCATTTTGTGTACATTTGGTGTGTGTGTCTACGTAGGAGGAATCTCAACTATTTCTCCAGCGCCTACACTGCAGCAGTGAGTGCTGTGGACCCCGATGCAGGACACGGGGAGCTGGTCATCAAGGTCCCCTCTGAACTCTGGAAACAAGGAGATGGTAAGACAAACAAAAAAATCAAAAAGTTGAGGATTCAGAAGCGTTTTGTTTTTTTGCCAAACCAAGACTAACTTACATAACTTACTGTCCCTTTTTAAAATGCCATCATCTTCACCAGATTTCTATAAAGAAATTAAATTAATCTTGGATTATTGACAAAAAAGGAGCTGTGAGAATGTGACCGATACACCAATATATCTGTGTTTTTGTGTCTCCAGATTTGAAAGTCTTAAAGGTGTACATCGAGTTTTCCCTGGACCAGCCAAAGGGAGGTCTCCACTTCGTTGTTCCTGATGTGGAAGGCAGCATGGCGGAGAGAGGAGCTCACGTGTTCTCCTTTGGATACCAGAACTCCACCAGGTCTACAAACAGTTTCTAACATTGACTTACAGTAGTTAAGTCAAATAACGACACACCTTAAGTACACTATAATAAGCCTTTGTAGTGCGTCATGTAACAACTCTAAGCTCAGTATCTTCACTCCTTTTCTCTTTGGACATTTCCTACACTCTTGTCCACTCTCTCACTTAATAGCTGACCATCACAGTCTACCATTAAAGCCCATAATAGCAGTGGTTGCAGGGTAGGAAAGTTACATATTTTTTGGGGGGCAATTTTTGCCCCCACTGAATGAAATCCAGGGGCATTTTCAAAAAATTGGGGGCACTTTTTGAAACTTGTGAAATAACATTTAACCTTTGTTCTAAATAATAAATATACTTATTTAGGCTTACAGTATATGAGCAATTGTCATCAAATGGCAATAATAAGACTGTTAGGCAGTAGTCTACAGATTCAAAGTGTTTTCTTAGATTTTTTTTTAACAAAAAACAAACAGAAAACATAAATCAGACAATCATATTCAATTTTATTCTTATTTCTTTATGGTTATTTATTGTTATTACATTTTTTAAACAACTATTAACAATTATTAAGTCAACGATGCCTTGATTAAATATACATCAGTCATTGTATGGAATTATTGAGAAAAAATATTTTTGTCGCACCTCAAATATTAAAAAAATGTGAAGGTACAAATTCAGTTCAGAGTTTTTGCTTAGTAAAATATCTTAATTGACTGTCAGTCAGGTATTATTCATTTCCAGCAACCCTCAAATCAAAGAATGAAGATACTTTACGCACAATTTAGGTGTATTTTCCCTTTAACTCACGAGATGCAGGTAGCATGTTTTATACTTAATGTGAATATAATTCATTTAATCTAATTTCCATTATGCAATATGTATACTTTGTTGGCATCTTATTCTGAAAACCGGATGTTCGTCTGAAGAAACCGGATGGTGTCTCACGTTAATCTTTCCGCTAACTTTCAAAGTCCTTCGCTCGCTCCCGATCTGCGCCGTTTACCGTGAATTTCAGCATGTAGGTGCACTACAATTTAAGTGTCTGCTGAGTTGACCGCAGTCTCGCAGTCACAGGTCTGATGAAGAAGCGCTCCATTTATTTATTCGTTTAGAAAGTTCGGGGGCATTTTTTGCCCCTCTCCTAGTGATATCAGGGGCAAAATTATATTTCTTAGGGGCAGTTTTGCCCTTTGCCCTCGTGTATTTCCGACGCTGAGTGGTTGGTGCATTCATTTACGTGCATGTGCTCAAAGCTCATCATATTGTCCGCTCCCCCAGATTCTGGTTCCCCTGTGTGGACTCCTACTCAGAGCTCTGTACGTGGAAGCTGGAGTTCACCGTGGACGCTTCTATGGTGGCCGTGTCGTGCGGCGACCTGGTCGAGACCATCTACACCCATGACATGAGGAAGAAGACTTTCCACTATGTCCTCCCCATCCCCACCGCGGCCCCCAACATCTCCCTGGCAGTGGGGCCCTTTGAAATCCTAGTCGATCCCTACATGCACGAGGTGGGTTTGCAGTGACCAAGTGATGGGTTTAAATGATGATGTGCCTGCATGTAGTTCGGGATGCCAAAAAGGAACCCTATATCACTGTTGTTATGGTCTGTATTGATTATTTCTACATAAGCCAAATGTGTAATGGTGTGATTCCTTTTCTCCAAACATCTGCTTTTACTTTAACGTTAAGCACAGCACCACTTAAACGTTGATGTGTTTGAAGTCGCAGTGAAACAGCAGTCAGAGCATCCAGCTTTGTCTTCTTTAATGTGACACGTTTTTTAGCGGAAGATTTAAGAGAGATTTAATCCACATGCAGCATGATATAGGACTGTTGGTCTCCACATCTGCATCATTCGGTTAGGAGGAGCAGTATGAGGGAGAAATGAACAAATTACATCTCAAACCACATTCTTGGATTAAAGCAAGTTTTTGCTGGCTAATATCCAAACGCACACCTCTTACTAAGATGTAAAACATCATCTCAGCAATGTTTAATCTCGACAGAAAACCTGATGACAAATTGTTAATTGTTATTAACTTCGGGTCTGATGTATGTCCTTGTATTTTCCAGTAATGACCACTAGATGTCCCTGAACACACGGTAGCAGTGTTGAAGATTAACTAAATTCAGTAAAGTAGTGTATGGACACGCTGCCTATGTAATGTGCAATGCACTGGTAGTAAATGCAGCAAGGGAACCCTTTGTCTTTCATTGTGACTAGGTTACATATTAAATAGATGTTTCACATTGTATTCAATGTGTAACAATAACAGTACAGAACAACTGTGAACTTAGTGAACGTAATAACTGCAGATTGTTTTCTGTGAATGTGGCACTACAGCTTTTTACAGAGTTTAACTGTTATTTTTGGAAACGTTTAATACAATTCTCTGTTACTTTGTATTATTTATTTCTTTAACAATCATACACACTTAATTGGCCATTGTACAAGTGTAAAAATAACAATTTCATTTAGTTTTCCTCACAGACATGACTGAGTTATAGGCCAACTGTATAGTTAATGAAAAAAGTTCTTTTAAAAATCAAGAAAGCCTCGCAACCCTGTGAAGCTTTGGCGACTCTTAGTAGGGGTAAGGAGCCCCAGGTTGGGAACCAGAGCAGCAAAGTGGACATCCTGGGTATTCTGTTATGATAGCTGTCATTAAATCAGACACAATACAAGGCATTACAATGACTGTACCAATGTGCTCCACCATGGAGACCCAACAGTTTTGTAAATGGAATACCATGGGGTTTTAACCTTTTAGTCTTTTTCTATAGACATTTTTCACTTTTGATTTGCTTATTCGGACATTTTGGAATACGCCCAAAAAATAAATTCCACATCGTACTTTGTCCCGTCCTCAGGTGACCCACTTCTGCCTGCCGCAGCTGCTGCCGCTGCTCAAACACTCCATGTCGTACCTACATGAGATCTTTGAGTTCTACGAGGAGATTCTGACATGCCGCTACCCTTATGCCTGCTTCAAGACCGTGTTTGTGGACGAGGCCTATGTGCAAGTGTCCTCCTATGCTTCCATGAGCATCTTCAAGTAAGCATGAGATAGACTGGGGGGGCAGGATGGTGTGTCCCCACATGCATGTTTGTGCCAACATGTTTTTTTGTGTGCACGAGACTTTCCCAGCTTCGGAGAAGTCACAGTGTTTTCTGTGAGGACAGTTAAGACATTTTGTCACTGTATTCATCTCATTCTGTCTGAACTTAAAAGTTGTTGGCTTTGTTTTTCAGTACCAACCTGCTCCACAGCGCTATGATCATAGACCAGACCCCGCTGACTCGCCGCTGTCTGGCCCAGGCCTTGGCTCAGCAGTTCTTTGGCTGTTTCATCTCCAGGATGTCATGGTGAGACCCAACACAGTGAGGCTTAAACAGCATTGAAATCATTCATCTAAAAGTATGGCCTTAATTTATCAGAAGTCAGAAGTAGGCTTTTATAAATTGTTTTTCTGATATTGCAATTTAAAATGTGACACAGTGACAAAACACCAATCAAACAAGTCAACTGGGGGAGTACGAGACTTATTCCAACACAATGTTCCTGCCCACACGTTTGCATGCACACGATGGCCTACTTCAGCAAGTTGGTCTTAAATTTGATTCCGCGTGGCATTAAAGAAGTCTAAATAGGTGTTAAATCTAACTTGCCTTAACATTTTTCTTCTTTTATTTGAAACTTCCATACGAACAAAAACAACTGCCTCACAAGAGACAACACTGGAGTTATAAACAAAATATTTAAAACCGTAAAACTAAAATGCTTTCAAAATGGAAGCTTCAAGGTTCCTCACAACAATGAGTTCAAGTGTTGAAAGTGGTGTGAATAAATCGCAGCCTGACTTCGGTAAGTGCAATATAAAAATCACACAAAGTTGTGTTTTAGAGACTTTTCCTGCAGGATTTTCTCATCTTTCATTTCAAAAAGCTGACACAACACTACAGCTCTTCCTGGTTGGGGTGCCCCCTCCTGCTCTGTATTTTCAACCGCCCTCTCCTCCTCACTTCTCTTCATAGACCGTCGTATCGCCCAACCCTACTTTGAAATATTGCTGTCAGAGTTGGTCACCTTGACTCTGCACTGATCTGCTGTGTGCAAGAATCCCTTCTCCTCCACTTTATCTCAAATGTCAACATTTTTGTGGACTTTATTTGGCATATTCTCTTGCTTGGAAACAATCTGAGACCACCTCCGCAAGTGGTCTCGGACCATATGTTGTGGTTCGCGCCAGAGTACGATTACTGCGATCACAACTGCCCAAACGAGCTGCACAAGAGTTTGATTTAGACAAACTCAGTGTTGACTCGTAAAACACGCTCTAGTGCCGCTAGTACCGGGGAGGGGAATGCTTGGGTGTCCTTCCTTTACCTCCTCTCGTCCTCCATCCTCTTCCCCTCCTCGCTGACCTCTAAACACACATCAGATGTGGGGCTTTTGCTTGCTTGTGCTGTTGAGCCGGCTGGTGTCGTGTGAGAGAAGACCTCAGGAAAGTCAGATCTCTTTGATTTTAGCAAAGCGTGGCGCTGCCTGAAAGCAATTAATCAGAGTGGGGGGTTAACTGGGGCCTGTAATTGAAAACAGGCCGAGCTCAGTAGCCCGTCAGACATAAAAGAGAAGGCACAAGAAAACAAGAAACTGCTCTTTTCTAAATCTGCTAAACCGCATTGACAGACAGTGAAGTGGGAATGACCTTTAGTAAACAAGATTACATTTGAATCTCTCCCTGTCTGTCTAATAGAGGATGAGGCAGGTTGTCTTCTGACACTTATCAGTAGTATCTGAAGGCTTTGCTGGCTAATATTCTGTGTTTTGGGGCTTTGTGCAGTTTCCCAAGTCTACTTTTCAAGAAAGGTTTCTTAAATCCTAAAATCAGAATCATGTAATTTATTCATTTAATTTATTACCAAGTAGATTTTCACATGAAATTGGTATTAGTACATAACATAAACACAATGAAATAATAAAAAAATTAAATAAAGAACTATGAATATATGAAAATACAATAAAAATATGAAAGTACAGACCATCCTGCGATGGATCACACCAGTCATAAATCTTCCTACACCTGGGAAAGCACTCAAACCCGTTTCTGTGGTAGTTGCCGCAACAGTAGGTGTCTCCTGGACCACATTTTGCCACGATGACTCAGACAGACTCACAACGCTGTTGCGCCTGGTAAGAATACTAAAAAAAGTCTCTACAATATATCAGAGAGAGAGGTTATTAATAGTCAATCATAATATGATTTAGTGACAGTATTAGGGCCAAGAGTGGATCAAATCTTTACAGGAAAATACTTCCATCCTCTCCATTATGTTGCTTTTTGCGGGTAAACAGATGAAATCATCTTTACTACATATAAGTCCGACTGGATTCCGTTCAACATCGAGTGGTGAAACCACCACGGTTGAATCAGCATATTCTGTCTCTCTTTCTTTTCTTTCTTCGTTTTTTTACAAGCTAATAAATCCAGGCTGATACATTATGAGAGTCGTGTCTGCCATGCCAAGTTTCTTCCTAGGAAAAACCACACGGGTAACATTCACAATTACCCAGTGATGAAGTGTGGCCTTTAAATAAAAGGGTGTCTACTTTGAAAGAGCTCAAAGCAGGTTTGCTCTCAGTCTCAAGGTGTCTCAAAACTGCTTATTCCCATTTATTCTGGCCCGATTGTGCAGTAGCTTCACACTTCTTGCTAGCCATACGTCACATGCTAAGAAGAGGAACCTTTAAGTCTCGAGTGATTGCCGGTCTGAAGTCAATTCACTTAAAAATTGTTGATATAAACGGCACTTCGATTGCTGCTATTGCTTCTGAATAATTCCATTCAAAGGTTGGACGTACACCATGAAGGGAACTAAAGCCACCCTGATGAATTGATTGTTATTTTTTAAATGATTTGTATTGTGTAAGCTGTGACTGCAGTGACTTGATGTGTTGTTACCTCTGAAGGGCTGATGAGTGGGTGTTGAAAGGAATCTCAGGCTACATCTATGGCCTCTACCTGAAGAAGACCTTTGGAGTCAATGAGTACCGCCACTGGATCAAAGAGGTAACAGCTTTTCTGTCAACTGTCATAACTCTTCTTACAAGGTCTCTCCAGGGAATTGGTCCGCAGAGGCGGTAATAGAAGCCCAACTCCTGCAGTGCAGCAGTGAGGTTTTGTTTCCTAACTATTAGTCCTTACTTATGTAATCGATCGATCGATCGATCACCTGCTAAATTGAATCTATCCTGATGCATCTCGTCTTGTTATCAATTTAGTTGCTCTAAAGGGTTGCCTTACTCATTAAATATGGTACCTTTGATGTGTGATGTAGCGCCACTGCTCGTTTAAAGGGACAGTGTGTAGGATTTGGTGGCATCCAGCGGTGCAACCAGCTGACTCGCCTCCCTCACAGGCCGTCCTTACCATGATAACACTCCTTTAGCAGCAGATGGTGGCCGAACCTCAGTTGTGCACTCTGCAGCTCACGTTACCGCAGTTTTACAAGCGTGTCTGAGAACTACGGTGGCCTTCAGGTAACATTAAAAATGCAAAAGGCTCTCTCCAGAGCCAGTGTTTGGTTTGTTCGTTCTACTGTGGAAACATGGCGGTGTAAAGGCATGGTCATATATTTGCAAACTTAACATATGCCTAACGTTCACTATTTTTTGCAAGTGAATGTTTGAAAAAAACTCAGATTCGAATCTTCTCATGTTTGCATTCATATCAAGTTCAACTTTGGTAAACTTTCAGCACCAATATCACCGATGCTCACTCGCCTGCATTAGCGAGGACTCATTTTAAACGAATGAAAACACAACAATTCTTAGTTTCAGTTGATTATAATGAAATAATAGTTATGAACACTATATTCCATATCTGCCAATAGATCCCCCAAAATTCTACACACTGGTCCTTTTAATAAGCAAAATATTTCATGATGTATGATGGCAGATAAAAAACTGAATTTAAATGACTGAATTCTGTAAGTGTTAAGAAATGTTATTTCGTTGTTTACCAGGAGTTGGACAAGATTGTGGAATATGAACTAAAGATGGGAGGAGTTCTGTTGCACCCAACCTTCAGTGGAGGCAAAGAGAAGGACAAGTAACACATTCCATTTCAATTTGAATCCCTATGCATCAATTACAGTCATTATATATAAGTAAGAAGTCATTTTGTGGATCATAATTACATAACACGCTGACCAAACTTTTTTTCTCTTTAGCCCAACTCCCCACCTTCACTTCTCCATCAAGCACCCCCATACTTTGTCCTGGGAGTACTACAAGATGTTCCAGTGTAAGGCCCACCTGGTGATGAGGCTGATAGAAAACAGGATCAGCATGGAGTTCATGTTGCAGGTGAGACACAACTGGCATTTTATTGTTGTCTGCCTCCGTAATTGTCTAAGAAAATTTTGCTGCTGCCTCGGTCCACAGCAGTACAATGTTTTGCTCCTGTGTCATAACTAGCTCATAACATGCTTCTCCAAACTGCCTACTGTAATCTACTGTGTGGATAAGTACCTTGTACAACCCCACTTCAAAACATCCAAACTATCTCTTTGACTTCAGAACAAAAACTTGTTACGTCTTCATATTGAATTCTTGGTTTTCTGCTGTGCTCCTGTAGGTTTTCAACAAGCTCCTGAGCCTGGCGAGCACAGCCTCGTCCCAGAAGTACCAGAGTCACATGTGGAGCCAGATGCTTCTGTCTACTCACGCCTTTCTCAAATCCATCTCCAACGTGTCAGGCAAGGACATCGGCCCCCTCATCAAACAATGGGTGTATCCTTTATCTGTCGTGGACTTATAGTGATGATGTTCAATGAGCCTGTTGCATTGTATGGCAGTCGGAAGCGTTCGAGGTTAAATGCTTAGTCATGCCAGACCTTAAATCAGAGGTAGCCAACACGGTGCCCGCGGGCACCTGGTCGCCCGCAGGGACCATGCGAGTCGCCCGCAACACATGTTCTAAAAATAGCACTAGGTCCCCATGGAGCTCCGTCCATGAACGCCAAAAACGCTTGCATTCATGTCGATTTTAAAAGGAAGAGGCCGCCGCACCGCACTAGGTTTTCAGGTTCCGAATGACGGGCGCTTCCTGTTGGCACCGGACGCACCGCCCCCGCCGCGATCGCACACCATCGTCAGGTCCGTCAGTCCTCGGAACAAGCCGCGGGGCAACAACTCGTGGGTGGCGGGGGTAGAGGCGAGGCAACGCAGTACGATCGAAAAGGCCCAGACTAGAGGTTTGAACGCAGGCGACCAAAGACGCTCGCGCGCCTCGGAGGGTTGGATCCCCCCCTCAGCTGTAGACGAGACTTTTTACTAGTTTCTTCGTGGAGAAAAAGGTACCCAAAAAAAAGCTGGTGACTACAGACTACAGGCCGGCATGCAGGCTTCATTGCGCAATGCAAAATTGACCCAGATTTCCCAAAATGTGGTGATTAGTAATAATGTAATAGGATTCATTTAAACATGTGAAAGAGTTGATTTTTTTTATCTTACATAACTGATAATTTGTATAAACATGGGACAGAGTTCATGATTTGTTCAAAAATGTTACGAAGGTAGTGGTTAGTACAAATGAGACATTATGTGAAGATATGACAGTTAATGATTTCCTAAATTTTTTTAAAAGTGATCATTTTTACAAAAATATAACGGGTGCGATTTTGAACAAAATACACAATCATTGTTAATATTTATTGTGAGGAATAATTAACATTGACATGTGATCAAACAGTCTCTTCACATATATTATTATTGTTAAAAGGTGATCTGTGCAACTTTGTTATTCATGAAGTTTGTATCAAACAAGTAGCCCTTCGTACTGCTCAGTACCCTTGAAGTAGCTCTCAGTTTCAAAAAGGTTGGTGACCCCTGCCTTAAATCATCTTTCCAAATAAAACACTTGGTAGGTTTGACGCCTTTCATAAGAAATGGAAACACCTGTATGAAATTATACTAAAAGTTACGCTTAAAACAAATCCCCACACAAGTTCATCATTTGCTCTTGAATTGAAAATAAACTTCCTACAGCTTCATAGAGTATCACTGCAGTATTATCAGAACATGTAATCTGCTGAATGTTCTGTCACCTGGTTCATTTTTCAGGCTCTCCTTGGTTAACTTTAACTCTTTGTACTCAGAGATCAAAGTTCTGTGGTGAAATTCTTTGGCAGCTTTGCCTTCAATAGGAAGAGGAACGTGCTCGAGCTGGAGATCCGACAGGACTACACGTCGTCTGGGACTCAGAAATATGTGGTGAGCGTTGAGATACATGTGGAAGGAATATGTGTTGTCTGTGTCGAGAGCAACTTAAAGTCCATTTGTAAAAGATTCCAATTAAAATCAAGGTCTACTGCTGGCCACAAACCTAGTCTGAAAGCTTGCTGACGCGATTAATCAATGAATGCATTAGTTATTTTTTTACAGTGTGTATAAAAGAAAATGGAATTCCTCTCTGTAATCTTCTATGCCAGACGTTGCTGTTCCTTCTGAAACAGGCTTGTCATGTTTGAACAGTCGATCTTTCCCCACCAAAAAAAACAAAAAGCCATGACTTAAACGGATCAATGAATCTAGCGTGTCATGTTACAGATGTCTGTAAGGCACTAGAACTGGGGTGTCAAACTCAAATACACAGTGGGCCGAAATTAAAAAAATTGCTACAAGTCAAGGGCCAGACGGGTTCAACGTTTATTGAAAACTTATTGAAAGAACCTTAGTGCACATATTGAACCTGGAACTAACAAGGCCTATAGAGTATTGCCTATAAAACAACATTAATTATGAAATAAATGAAATAAAAATGATACATAATACATAAATAAATAAAAATAAAAGTAATAAAATCAGTTTCATTAATTGCTTATGGCTCTATCTGCAGTTTTTCCAGAGTAATTTCAAGTGAAAACATTTTCTACAGGCAAACAGCCAAAAATAATTTACTTCTAAGAAAAATCAAATGTCCTGTAGTAGCAAGAGAAAAAAAATGCAAAAATGAAACTGCATTAAAAACTGAAAATGCGTCAAAGCACCGTTTGCTGCTCTGTGATGCTCACTGGTCTGAGCCAGACACTTCGTGTCTCATCTTGGATACAAGTTCATTAATGTCTGGGGTCAGGCTCTGAGCTGAGGAAATCCTCAGGATTGAGTGAAGGTGCGCATCAGTAAGACGTGTCCTGTGTGAAGTTTTGTTTATCTTCATCAAAGAGAATAGTTGTTCACACAAGTATGTGCTGCCAAACATAGAGAGCGTTTGAGCAGCCTGGGAGCGCAGCTGGGGCATTGTGTCGGGGATGAAACGTGGAAACTCTGCAGCGCCCACAGACTCATATTTTGCCTTCAGTGTGTCATTAGATTGGAGCTCAATCAGCTCCATTTGGAGGTTTGATGGTGCATTTTCCACGTCAGCTGCAAATGGATTACTGAGCAGTTCAAACCTGCTTTTTTGGGCTTCAAAATCCGCAAATCGCCGTGTGAAGTCAGCACCAAGTATGCCGAGTTTTTCAGCAAACTGTGTAGTTGGGAAGGCAGCGACCTGCTCTTTCATTGTTTGGCAGTGCGGAAAATGGCTCAAGTTTTCTTGCAGCATCTGCGTCTCCCACAGGCGCAGCTTGGTTTTAAAAGCCCTTACTGTAGCGTACATGTCAGTGATGACACGGCCCCGCCCCTGAAGCTGCAGGTTGAGCGCATTCAGGTGGCTCGCGATGTCACACAGAAACGCCACTTCACACAGAAACATTTTATTTTGGAGCTCTGTTGTGCCTTTCCCTTTGCTTTCCATGAACTCACAGATCTACTCACGCAACTGGAAAAATCTTTCCAGCACCTTTCCCTGGCTTAGCCATCGCTCCTCTGTGTGATAGGGCAAGTCACCATATTCTGTACTTAACTCCTCCAGAAAAGACTTGAACTGGCGGTGATTTAAACCTTTGGCTCTGATAAATTTAACCGCTAATGTTATGATGCTCATCACATGTTCCATTTTCAAGGCTATGCCACACAACGACTCCTGGTGTATGATGCAGTGATAAGCTGTCAACTCACTTGTGACGTTTTCCTCCTTCATCTTTTCTCGGATCCTCCCCACCAATCCACTCTTTTGACCGCACATCGCAGGCGCTCCATCTGTTGTCAGTCCCACAAGTATATCCCACGGCAGCCCCATTTTATCTACACATCTGGACACCTCTTCAAAGAGATCTTTCCTCGTAGTTCTCCCATGCATTGGGTGTAATCCCAAAAACTCTTCTGTTACGCACAGGCTTGAGTCCACTCCACGGATGAAAATTGACAGCTGGGCAGTATCAGAAGTGTCGGTGCTCTCATCCGCAGCAAGGGAGTATGCGATGAAATCTTTTCCCTTTCCCACAAGCTGTTGTTGGAGCAAGGTGACGCACATGGTCAGCAACGGTGTTTCGGTTTAGGCTCACATTTAAAAATGCTTGCCTTTTTTCTGGGCACACGGCGTCGCAAACTTTAATCATGCAGTTTTTGACAAATTCCCCCTCGGTAAAGGGCCGGGCTGATTTTGCAACCTCTGCTGCCACAATAAAACTGGCCTTAACAGCAGCCTCGCTTTGTGATTTGGCTTTAGTGAACATAGCCTGCTGTGACACCAGACTTCTTTTCAACTCCTCTACCTTCTGTAGCCTTTGTGTCGTGTCCAGATGCTTGTATCTGTCTTGGTGCTTCGTTTCATAGTGTCTTCTTATGTTGTATTCTTTCATTACAGCCACAATGTCTCCGCACAGAAGACACACAGCTTTGCCCTTTACATCCGCGAACATATAGTGTGCCTCCTACCTGTCTTGAAAACTCCTGTTTTGAAATTCCACCTTTCATTTAGCCATTTTTTGGGGCGAGGGATAGTTGAAAGTTGACACAAGTGGTATGTAATACAGACTGTGAGGCGCGCGTTCGCGGGCCTGCGATTGACGTGCCGACACACGGGCAGTGCATTGTGGGATTTGTAGTATTATGGTGGTGCGTGCGATATACCGGCGGGCCAGCTCTAATAGTAAATAGATTTTATCTTGCGGGCCAAAGATAATTCATTCACGGGCCGGATGTGGCCCGCGGGCCTTGAGTTTGACACATGTGCACTAGCAGTACCATCATATTTGCATAATTTATTATTACTTTGGCCGTCAAATATTCAGATGTGTATATATCCCTGCAGGGTCCCATCAAAGTGACGGTGCAGGAGCTGGATGGATCCTTCAACCATACGCTGCAGATCGAGGAGAACAGCCTCAAACATGACATCCCCTGTCACTCCAAGAGCAGACGGTGCCTACCACAGCTCAACACATGCTTCATTCTCTCATGATTAGTGAATATTGTATATGACATAGTTTTTTTTTTTTTTATATATATATATATATAGATAGTGCTGTTCAAAGAGATAAAATAAAGAAAAAAGAATGTGTCCCGTGTTGATCTTGTATTTTTACTGTTGTCTAATCACTGATCGTTCTGTTGGTTTCCTCTTCCAGAAACAAGAAAAAGAAGATCCCTCTGATGAATGGAGAGGAAGTTGACATGGATTTATCGGCCATGGAGTAAGACGTCACTGTGTGACATTTTATCTATGAATTTAGTTATTGTCCTGTCCCTGTATGAATATTAGGTGTATTACGTGAAGGTAGATGTACCTGCGTTAGTTGAGGTACTTCACTTTAACTTGAACTTGTTCCGTCTGCAGTGCGGACTCTCCTCTCCTGTGGATCCGCATCGACCCAGACATGTCCATTCTGAGGAAGGTGGAGTTTGAGCAGGCCGACTTCATGTGGCAGTATCAGCTGCGCTATGAGAGGGATGTAGTTGCACAGGTGGGATAATGGCACGAGTGCAGCTACAGTACATCTAGCTGGACCATGCTACAGCTGCAGTTTGTTCAGTTTTTTTACCCACAGCTAAAGTCGGGATGGGTGCCCATAGCCGTCTCTATTTTGGATCTGGGTCCCGGTTGGCAAAGTACCCGGAGTCACTAAGTTGTTCCAATAATAAACAATAATTTAATCTCTCCTCACTCACTTTTATTAGCCAAAAGCCAATGAAAACATGTTGGTAACCACTTCTCATTATTTTCTGCTGTCATGGTTTTAAGTTACTACGAGGAGCTTTTAACGGGTTATGAAACACTTCTGTCCACAGGGGACTGCCAACATCAACACAAAATGAATATTCCTTACAGGAACTTTAAAGTTTTATTGACATTTCATACTTCTTTTTTTCTGCAGCTCATTTCATTTTCAGTTTTTAGCTGCTACTATAAACTGGAGTGAATCAGCTTTCTCAGCCGACAAAAGCTGATTAGACTTTAGAAGGAGTTATTGTAGCCTTTAGTTACTTGCTAATGTTGAAAGGTTAACATTATAAGATTGATAAGAGACTTGAAAGGATTTTGATCATTTTCTTTGATGGAGTTTGATGTTCATCAGGTGAGCATGTGCCTTATCTCTCTGCTAGGAGGAGTCCATCTCAGCATTGGAAAAGTTCCCCACTCCTGCCTCCAGACTGGCTCTGACAGACATCCTAGAGCAGGAACAGTGCTTCTACAAAGTCCGCATGCAGGCCTGCTTCTGTTTGGCCAAGGTATGTGTCAGTCAGTGTGTATGTGTGCGTTTTGTATTGCAGCAACATAATCAAAAACGTGGGTCACATACTCACTGTATCAATTATACGCTATGTAGAGCACAACTGATTGGGTTTAAGATTCTCCTCTGACTTGCTACAGAGGGCTCTGTTTGGTGAGTATGTGGGTGCAGTTTAAGGGGACTGCTTCTGTTGAGCCTTCTTGTTATTGAGAGGCTCCCCACCTGATGACCCTGTAGGCTCCAAACACTCACGCACAACTTCATATTGAAACCTTAATCTTTTCTTTGATAGACAGGTCAAGGGACATGTTTCATGAAAGGTTTCTCTGTACTGAATAGTTGGAAGCGCCAAAGTTTAATTTGTGACGTTGACACTTTAGAATTGTAAATTCACATTTGAATGCTGCGCAGTTTTTAAAAAAAGTTTGACTTGGACCACAGCCACCGATTAGTTGCCTAAGATTTCTTTCAACTATTTGTTGTTTTTCATGCTAAAACACTTATTTCACAGAAATGTTTCTGGTCAATACAAGATTCAAAGTGGTGCTTTTGTGTGACACTTTGTGGAGACGCTCAGTTTTACTAAGCTATCAGGCGAAAAAATCGTTTAAGTGTCAGTCGACTAAGAAATTTCTTTGGTCGAGGAAAGCCTTAGATTTCTTTTGAGGAACATGTCATTTTTATTGGAAGATAACAGATCAGCTCTCTTTCATTTATTATTTTGTTAAAATGATTTTATATTGTGCTTAATATTGTGTAAAGAGCTACAGTATGAGAACAACATGTAGCCTCCCAGCCAGCAATGCCACCCACCGGTTTAACTCTCGCTGCTCGGTTGACTGAATAATCCTATTCTGTGGCTGCAGGAAATCCTCCTTTCTCTGGATTTGGTCTATTCCAGCTTTAACCCCACTGGATTTCCGCCATTCGTGTTCCACCTGAACCAATATTTTCACAACATGATAAACTGAGAGGAGGTTGAAATGGCAGCACTTCACCTCTTTCATTATGCTGCTGTGTTTGGCATAAGAACCCCCAACAGACTCCCATCGTAATGGCCTTTGGTATATACTGCACACAAGCTCGCACACACAGACTTACATACCCGCACTGACCACAAAGAGAATTATGACTGACCTCAGATGGACTTGGCTGCATTATGGTTGGTTGGGATGGCATTTACTTGCTTGTTATTGGTAGAACATGTGGGAAGAAAGAAGGAACACTGTGTGTGTGTTTGTGTCTCTATGTGTGTGTTTGTGGGGGGGGTCGGGTGGCTTTGTAAAAACTGACAAATGCCCGTTAAAAACTCTTCGACACACAAAAAAACACAGATGTGTCCGTGAATGTGTGCACACACTTCATACAAAAACATTCCGGCGTGCATACCCCCCCTTTATTTACTTTACCAAATGACAACATCCTGTGTCAGTGACCTGTAGTCCTATATTACCACATTAACATAAATTCCCCAATATCCTGTTGGAACCCAAAGACCACTGGAGCCGCTGGTCTTCGTGCCTGTGGAAACCTCGTGTGCAGCACGTGTGTAAATTTGTCTTTTACTTTGTAGTTCAGCTCTCACCACAGGAACGGACAGTGAGGACATTGTTATACAGTTTACAACGTACTTGACTTGTCATTAGTGCGCCGTTGCAATATTTCCCAAATAACTACCACAGCTCTTGAGAGAGCAGCTTATACAACCGTTTACATTTTACTTTCCACAAGCTTCTCAGAAAATGTTAAATTTGGCTATTTTACTTGGTTGCTGTCCTCCACATGTGGCAGTTTGAACAGAGCTGAGCTGAAGTAATTGACTAAAGTAGAATTGTGTTCTTCTCTTCTCTCGTGTGTGCATGGAAACCTTGCAGATAGCCAATGCCATGGTGAGCACGTGGCAGGGTCCGCCGGCCATGAAGTCCCTGTTTACCCGAATGTTCTGCTGTAAGAGCTGCCCCAACATCGTCAAGACCAACCACTTCCTCAGCTTCCAGAGTTACTTCCTGCAAAAGGTACCGTCGAACAACCGTCAAACTATTCTTTTACTACTATTTCACTGCTGAAAAATCAACTTAACATATTTTGGCCACAATTCCTCGACCTACAAGGACACGTGCTCCACTGAAGCACATTGTTAAATCAAGCTTTTTGTGTTTCTCCATCTTTTCTGTCTTGTCTTTGTTTTCCATGTCAGACGATGCCCGTTGCCATGGCGTTGCTTAGAGACGTCCAGAACCTCTGTCCCAAAGATGTCCTCAACTTCATCCTCGATCTCATCAAGTATAACGACAACAGGAAAAACAAAGTAAAGCCACACAAACTTTCATTCCAACAAAATAACTCTAACAGTCGAGATGAAATGAACCCTGTCCCTGGTCACGTTGAATCACAAAGAATGCTGAACGAAAAGTACAAAACAAATCCATTTCTGTGTATGTATATATGAAAATCCAATGATCTTTTCTTCCAGCAAAACTAAATATGATGTGTTTTTACATAAGCTAGTACCAACCAATAATATCATGACATCCATTCCTCAAACAATCTGCAACTTCTAGTGACAATGGAGGAGGTCTTATTATAGGTCCAATCAAATAGAAAGAATTTGATTTGAATCCCTCTTGTAACTACACCGCTCAAATATTCTGTTTCACTGGGGAATATGTCACAATGCAGAAGCTAAAGATACACTTTCACTGGGACTTTAAAGGGCCAGTGTGAAACAGTTTGAGGGATCCATTAGCAGAAATGGAATATGATATTCATAGCTATGTTTAACCGTTGTGTTTGCGTTAGAATAAGCCCTTCATATCTGCATAGGGAGTGCAAAACCTTGGTACTACAAGTTGCCGTCTGACATCCTCCTAAAGTAGTGTTATTATGGTAAGGATGGCCTCAGAGCGAGCCCAACAGCGCCACTACGGTTTTGCAGTCAGGGGGGGCTCACGTTACCGTAGTCTTGGACGGGTAGGAGTGAGCGGAAAGGTATTCAGTTGGTTGCAATCTGCAACCACACCACTGTATGCCACCAAATCCTTCACAATGTCCCTTTAAAGATGTAATCAATCATGGCCGACAGCCAAAAGCTAGCAAATACACACAGTATTTATCATTTATAAGTAATTGAGTGGCATCGTAAACAAATGGTTTAAAACGTTCTTTAAAAAAAACCTAAAACCGTAGCATATTTACAGATGCTGACAGTAAATCGTCAGCCCCAGTGATCATCAACACCTTCTTCTGTCTGTCTCCAGTTTTCAGATAACTTCTACCGTGCTGAGCTGATAGAAGCTCTGACCAACTCCCTGACCCCAGCCATCAGCATCACCAACGAGGTGCGCACTGTGGACAATTTGAACGGTGACGTCCGTCTCATCTTGGAGGAGATCACTCGATTCCTCAACATGGAGAAACTGCTGCCGAGCTTCAGAAACACCATCACTGTCAGGTTAAGAGCGCTGTGTGTGTGTTTGTTTGTTTGTTTGTGTTTCGCGTGTGATCCCCTGAAACACACTAGTTTCAGTTGTTAAAATATTACTTCCTGTTGCTGTAAACCAAGTATCGGACCAGGTGTGCACTGGGATCTTATCTCCACAAGCAGCCACCAATTATTTTAGGGAGTTAGGATAAAGTGTCCTGCCATGGATTCTGCCTCAATAATTGGACAACAAAATGAGGAACAACATTTTTCCAGGGTACGATAATTGTTTTGGAAAACACCAAAGTATTTGTAATTAATCTTATTCTTAAGTTAAGCCTTTTCTTAAAACGTCAGAAAATACAAATGAAGATTGGTCTTCTATATACTACAAGTAATATAGTGTTGCATGCAGTGATATGTGAAAGAGTAGATTTATGGGACTACAGAAGAACGAAAGAACATGCTTATGTTTGTATTTATGTTAAGATGGACGTTATCTGTCGATTAAAATATGAGACAAAATATATCATTTGTCTTCAGTTGACAAAGTTTCCATGCTTATAAACATTCCTTAATGATTAAAAAAATCATTTGATCTTTGGCATGTTAATCCCCTTGTTTATTGTACATCAGCTCAGTTTGTAGTTGTCATATTTTTTTGTCAGGCACCTGAAGGCAGCACAGCTTTAACTTAAAAGTAGACTAAGTTTTAGATTCTGCACAACGCATATCCATCTGCTGCTGTCAGTTAACATACCAAATTAAGGACATAGAAGTTAAAGCTTGTTGGAAAGAAAGGCATAGGCTAATAGAAGAGGCGTATTGCCTTCTATTAGCCATGTTTTTGCATATATTTCACACACCTGTTCCCCTCCTCTTCCCTCTCTGTAGCTGTCTGAGTGCGATCCGCCAGCTTCAGAAGAATGGTCATATCCCCAGTGACGCGTCACTCTTCAAGTCCTACGCCGAGTACGGACACTTTGTAGACGTTCGCGTTGCTGCACTGGAGGCTCTGGTGGACTATACTAGAGGTAGGACATTTATCACAAGTGTGCTATGATCAGAAATGAAGACATATTTGAGTGTTTGTTATTTTGACACCTTCGGGACTAGGAGGATGTTTGTCAGCGTGTCATATTCTTGTATCTAGGTTTGTTGTGTTCGCTCATTTGTCTTTTTTTTGTTGCCCCGTAGTTGAAAGAAGCTCAGTGGAGCTGCAGTGGCTGCTCAACATGGTCCAGAATGACCCCACTCATTATGTCAGGTCAGCTCACACGCGTGCTCTCGTTTAACACACATTCATGAAGTTACTCATTGAATGTTTGTATGTCATTGAATGTTGTCTTCCCAAAAGTGTGTTGTCTATTCTGTTGCACATTATGCTATTATGTGAAACGGCAATGCAGCTAGAATATTAATTGCTAATAGTCTGACAGCTGTAGATATGGGGAATTCAGATGTTTGTGATTTTGTCACACTTACTTAGTCACATTTTTCATAGAATTTACAAAAGAAAACAGTCTTTGTCATCAAAAATCCTAATGAGTTGAGTGTAAAAGTAAACGAATGTCACTAACTTCCAAATATCATCTCTAATCATGGATTCTTTTTTTTTAATCGGCCCCATCAGAGGCCTTAATTGATAAGTTCACACCTTTTTCAAGTCTATCTTAATACAATAATTACATACCCATATGTAGACTACCTGAAGCGATTTCCCTTTAAGTAAGGGGTGACAATGCACGGATGACCTTTAACTTTCGGCTGAAGATGATATGAGGCTCTGACAGTCTGAGGTGGACGGATCACACCTCTGCTGCGGCTCAGTTCGAGACAGAAATCTCTTTAGGGACGTCTTTGTGGCAGCAACCAGTATACTTCCTCTGCTGTTAAAGACGGCTGTAGTTAATGCTGAAGGACTGACGAACAGCCAGCATGGATTTTCATTTTCATGTGTGCGTTTCTTGTTTGTTGTCCAATCAGACATAAGATCCTGGGTATGCTCTGTAAGAATCCACCTTTCACCAAGACAACAGACTCAGCTCTGTGTAATGAAGCGCTGGTCGACCAGCTCTGGAAACTCATGAACTCAGGTGAGACACACACACACACACACACATCTGCACTCTTTATGAAATGACAGGATGTAAAGTCCTCATGACATCGTGTTGTCATTCAGTCAGTCAAGCTGCCCTCCTTTTTAAAGGGATAGTTTGCAGGTTCCTTGTCAGTCTGCTTTAACTTTCCGCCAGACGGCCCTTTCCAACGGGGAGGCAGTTGTATCCGTCTATGCTCGCCAAAGCTACCAGACTCCATTGAAACAAACCAGTACTTTTTCTTCCCAGAACACAGGGGTTTGCTGGCCGTCACTGTACTACTGTATGTGTAGTTTATCAATCTGATTTGAGGAGCTTCTCACTGGATGCGACCCAACATCGCTCACGTCATTGTTGATCAGATGCAGGTGACCGTGTGTCAGGAATGTGGTGAACAAAGCTGTACCATGCTGAAGAGAGGTTTTGCTAGCCTGCCACTGCAAACAAATAAGGCACTTCCTGTCTGTTTCCATCTTTCCCTGTTCCTGCCAAATTCACAACCTACTGGTGCCGGGAAGACCCCTTCCAGATTTAGCTGCGTTACGGACTTTATTTCAAGCACATTTTCTAAGAACTTCTGAAGCTTAAACCTCTTAAGCCCGACTCAGTAACCAGGCAGGAAGTTGAGTCCTGCATGGTTCTTGTTTTTCACTGCCAGAGATCAACGAAAACTAATTTGCTTCCCCTCTGCTTTACTAAACATACTGTTGTCCGAGTTCAGGGACCTCGTTGTTTTGTTTCTCTGTGTTGTTCGATAAACAGAGAGAAGCCCTTGCATTACTACAGCATCCATTCCAACCAGAGCGCTTTTACAGTAATGATATAAACAACCATGCTACATCTGTTATCATCTCATTTATAACAAAAGAGGTGATAACAGACGGCTTTCTGTCGTTCAGATGGACAAAGGCAGAGATAAAGTGGTTTCCCTTTCCACATGTGTACTGCTGGACAGACTTCTGTCAGACTGCTATGCTGCTGTTGCACAACTCACTGACACCGTTTGAAAGTTCTCTGTAATCCTCTATAATGGATCCCAAGAGGTTCTGAGTGAACTCTAAATGAATGACTTGTGTGTCTCATTCAGCTTGTTTCCAGACCTTTGCTTTTCTCTGTTCTAGAAGAGGAAACAGGACAAATCTAGCTACAGTTCATCATGTGGTAGAAAGTGGAGTTGTTGGGAACAGCTGCACAGTTTTGCCTCATTTCCAGTTCCACTTGCTTACGTCCATATACTTTGCCGTACATTCACTCCCAGCCACGTGTATTGTGCATGTGCTGGTGTGATTTTAATTTATTCTGTAAAATGTAGAAAACAAACTGAAAGATGCCTTTCACAAGTTTCCAAAGCCGAAGGTGACGTCTTTAATTACCGTAGCTTGTTTTGTGCGAGCAATAGTCCAAAACACAAAGATATTCCTTTTACTATTATATAAAACAGGGTCGATGGTACACTTCCTTTATTTTAGCTTTTTACTGGAACACTGCTGCTTTGTCCTGAATGCATGTTATAAAAGTATCTTACTGCTACCTTCGGAAGTGGCTTAAACTTTCATTCTTCACCAGGGGGCGACTCCTCTGGTTGTATAGAAGTCTATGAGAAAATAGCTCTAATTCTCACTTGATTTATTACCTCAGTAAACATTGTAAACATGAGTTTATGGTCTCAATCTCTAGTTTCAAGTCTTCTTCAATACAGCATGATGTTCATTTGGTAAATGATGGTCCATTTACAGTCAAATAGACCATAAAGCAGGGTATGCTTTAGGGCGGGCGTTGAGCGGTCTCTGGTAGTTGTCAGCGTTTTCGTCTGACAACTTTAACCCGTTCACAGTGTGTTTAACCTAACCTAAAAATGTCTTCAGCATTCGGTTGTACTTCGCTCCACCCTCTCGTATTCTTTATGGTTTCAAAAACAAGATGACTACGGCAAAAATACGCCCATGGCTACAATGTTGAACTCGAGCCTTAAAAACCATAGTCCACAAACCAATGGGTGACATCACGGTGACAATGTCCACTTCTCATAAACAGTCTATGGTTACAATATAAGAGGTCCACATGCCAGGTAGGGGTGGGGGAAAAAATCGATACAGCATAGTATCGCGATATTTTGCGTGCCGATATTGTATCGATACACAGACGCCAAGCATCGATCTTTTATTATATAAACTATTTTTTTTTAAAAATTAAAATTTTAAATTTACTAGAAATCAATTGCTTTTTAAGTCCACTAGATGGTGCTGAGTTGTTGTCTGGTGAGGTCAGCAAAGGTCCCGGGTCAGCGTGATTGGTAGGAAGTTGGTCAAAACAAAGATAGAGACATCTGGCCTCACAACTGCCAACAGTAGCCAGGCTCATGGAGAGAGTGCAGCGCATAACTGTCTCTCTGCCCTTGACGTCCACGCATTGCAAGTTATACTTATATAAGTTATAGTTCATATACTGAGTCCACACGTTTGCATTTAGTTAAGTTGGACTATGTAGTAATACATTCAGTTTGTCAGGTTCATGCAACATTTATGACATTGTTGGTCAGTCTGTCTGCTTGACAGTCCTATTTTGCTGCAATAAAAATGATTGAAGTGAGATGAACAGACTGAAAACTTTATCTTATTAGATAAAACATGTTGACACAGTTTTCCTTTGGGGACATCATTTGAAGTTGAAAAAAGTAATAAATCTCAATATAGGCCTATGTTATCGCAATACTCAGAATATCGCAGTATTGTGATAATATCATATCGCGGGACCTCTGGTGATTCCCACCCCTAATGCCAGGTCCCTGTAAAGATGTTCTTCTTGCAGCACTTGAGTGTTTTTTTTTCCTAAATTAGTAGTATTATCATGTCATAGTCGCAGCTATTTGGTGGGGTTGTTGTTGGCTCCACTGTCCTCCTTGTTCATTGTCATCAAAGGGATCTCAGACAGCTCCTATTGTTACGAGCTAACCACCGTCTGTATCTGGAGCAGTTGAAAGTAGCACCTTCTCCATAGAGGTGATATCACTTCAGTGTTTCGTATCCAATATTCAGCTTCCTGTGTTTTTCCTTCATTATTATCTGGTCGAAGGTTAAGGTCTACTTTTTGGTGATGTACCTCCGCCATGTACGCACACGGCTCTGCCCTGTATTGTGTCCTCGGGTTTCATTATTTTTC